TACTTATTAAACTGTTCGATCTAATTAGACAGCGCCCTTCGGCCGACCGTCTGCAGTGTTGCAGTGTTGCATGATCAGCTGTGTTGTATACAGATGAACGCGATAAACGGGCTCCTGCTGGGACCATGTCTCGTGCCCTGCATGAGCATCTGCAAGTAGAGGCTGCTCAGAGGTGGTGGCGAGGCCTCTGCGCAGATGGATTAAAAGGAACAGTCGCGAGGACCGTACCAACAATCTGTAGTCTACATACCTGCATAGCGCATACCATGCAGGTCGTCCTCGCTGCTCATTTTTGCACGCCTTTTCTGACATTTAGACAGGGTACAGGTGGCAGTGGCAATGTGTCAGTCTTAGTGACCGATAATTGATTTTCTAACGGAATCGTATCATGAGCTGGATGATTCGCAAAATCAACCCAGCAAAGTCACGCTCACGCTCACTTCATTCGTTTCGAGCACATTTAATTTTAATCCCGTGCGCTGATCGATGATGAGTCCACGTAACTGCGGCGTCCGGTCATCGAACGTCACTGCGCTTCTGCTGGGAAGTCGCCGCGATTACGAGCCCCGTCCGTTCCGTTTCGTCGTTCGAGGAAGCGGTCCTGGCCCGGCGGGCGTCATCTGTTCTGATGACGCCGCCATCTGCCCGCCGCTCGGCGGCGGCGGCGGCGGAGACAGTTGCTCGCTGGGACAGATGACGGCGATAGTGGTAGATGTGACAGACGACGACAAAACTGTCCGCAGGCTATGTGTCCCCCGAGCGGGGTGGGCACCGGGCAGTGACCACCGCAGGCTATGTGTGCGGTCGGGAGACGAATGGGAGCGTTCCGTCTCTCCATGTGTGAGACAGAGAGGTGACTGGCCCGTCCACTTCCGCTAGACTGGCGGTGTCACCTCTTTATCCTGATGGCGCCTCTTCGAAACCGAATCAAACGCACCGCGGCACCCCCGCTCCAGTGGGCTCCTCCACGGCCCCTGCGTCGCGTCGCCTCCTCGCGCTGGGTCACACACTTATCCAGTCATGTCACCCGGTTTCACCGGCACCCCGTGCCGACCCGGTCACCGGACTGATCACCAATGGTCACTGGACCGATCACTGGTTGTCACCCAAGCGGTCACTGTCCAATGTGCATGCCTAACGGCCGGCAAGAAGTCACTAAGCTGCGATTCTCGGATGATGGTCGGTGCGAAATCAGAGGAAGCCTTGTCTGAGCTACCTGCATGGCTCGCTCTTTGCCAGGTCGGGACAGGCAACTAGTTATCGTCTGCCTGGTCCATACTATTGTCCGTACTTGGATCCGGACTCGCCCTGTGTCCGCAGCTGTATCCTGAGTCGTGTCCGAAGGCGCGTTTGGAGTCGTATCCGTGTGCGATCCGGATGCTCGAACACAGCGGACGAATCGATGCGTCCCGGGCAGGTTTTGATGTCACCTCGAACGGCGAGCGTGCCGGCCGGTGCGCCGGTGCGGAACGGTCAGTTTCGGGACCGTCTGGGACGGGGAGAGCCGAGTGTCAGGACCGGGAGTGGGTCGAAAATATATGGCAGGCTGGAACAGAGGACAGCAGGACGCGACGCGTGAAAGCCGGACCGGTCTCAGGACAGGAGGCCGGGCTAGGTATAGGACGGGTGGAATGCAGGACAAAGCCTGCATCTCATCAACAGCAGTGCTGAACGACGCTGATGATATCTTCCCGCGAAGGAATGTGATTTCATTTCATAGGCACTCAGTGGGCCAAAAATAGTCTAGGCCAAAATGACCTACATTATTGTAAGGAGATGTAATCATTATCTAGTCATTTTGGATGTTTGTGCCTTTGCCGATATTTCCAGCTTTTATCATGACTTTACTACCTCAGACGGCTTGCACGACCATGATACAGAGAATCGCAGACAGTTTCGTCAATATTCGGAGCACACTACCAGACGAGGCGGCACTCGAAGAAAACTAACTGCTCAAATTACTGACCGCTCTCTCGCTTACCCAGCTCAATCAGCCGAGACAGTCACCTATCGGAACGGACCCTGACCGTCACTTCCGCCGACAGATGTGTTTGTGATGTGGCGCCGCCGCCACAGAGCACGGGGACTGATGGACCAATCATATCGGTAAATCGCAGAGATCCGGCCGCCCGTGCCGCGCCTCTCCGAAAACATATTGCGGATATGGGGATGCCTCGCAGTAGTGTAGTGATGCTATGGTGTGGTGATATGACTATGTGGCTGTGATACAACTCAGTACGGAAAGTTCAGAGAAATAATGGCAAAGAATCAGGTAAGGCATGGTTAATGGACATGAGTCATGACCACCACCCCCATTCCCCCCAAAATATGAATATTTTCGTTGAACGGGTGTGAGTTTTTATAGTGTGACACAATAGTGCACCCCAATATCACGATGAAATAAACAGAATGCTAGGAAAACAATTGGTACGTAGTACGTTCGAGAGAACCGATCAGTTGTCTACAGCACGGCCCATTGCGTCCAATTAGTATGTGATTGTGGCCAACTATGGTCTGGGTTTGCTTACGGAGAATTTCTGACCGTGGCTGAGACTCGTTCTGAACTCAATGAGCCTTTGATTGGCCTTTATCTACCGGAGGAGAGGAGGAATGGTGGTATGGGAGGCCGGAGGACACGGCAGCGGGTGCCCACGAGCCATGCAGCCTCAATCGACCACCTCCTTCCGGTCTGTGGTTACGCTGTGGACAAACGTGTGGCTGTGTTAGCGCTCAGCCGCGGTTGTATTGTATTGTGGCTGTCCAGTGTCCATTGGACCTTGAAGCTATGAAAGGTTAATTGTATGTCTTTTCATTTACCGATACGATACTAGGGCATCTTACATGCCAAATTATAACTATTTATTCAGATGCTTTGTGAAAGCCTTTTTGCTGCTTTTACCATTTGGAAAGCAGTTCCTTGACAGTGAAGGGCGCGGATGTCATTTTGTGTGAGTTTATAGCTTACTCGCACGTGTCCCCTGGAGTTTTAGTTTAGAGCTAACTTTCTTCCCCAGCTGCTTTGATTACAGCGTTTTAGCGTTGTTTCTCTTCTTAGTAAACTCCCAGTTAAATGCCGTTTTCTTCTTGATTGCTCACTAAAGCAATTTGTTTTCAATGTCACACAATTCTTTAAACGACACTCGCCACCTCATTTATCACGATATACGAGAAGTCGCGTTCTCATGACCTGGATTCTATCAGCGATCTCTGAACGCCGCTTATTTCAGAGCTGGACGCATTTAGCGGCCGTCTCAATAGGCCATTCAGCGGAGTTTCCTCGTCAACCCCGCACGGTGACGGCCACTGCAGGGCGTTACCGAGATCTGATCCGGGGCGTCGCGGAGAAACCCCTCCGTGCACCATCACGATCTTCCCGGCTCCGTGACTCGCCGTGACTCGCCGTGACTCACCGCACCGGGTCGGTTACCGTCACGAGCCCATCGAGCCCCGTGACTCGGCGAGCGGGAGTGGATAGAGCTATCTCGGGCGGGGACCGCCCAATCAATTAGCACCGGGCCGACAGCGACCGGTCTGGGTTTTCGTGGTCGCCTTTTGTATGTCGGCAGGGCACAGAAGGGTTCACGAATGACTCCGAGGGCGTCCGATCACGAATTGCAGCTGTAAGTACCTATCACAGATCACGGGTGACCATCAGTCACCCACCAGTGATTGTAACCATCGGTCACAGATTTTATCCCGTAACCAACTACAAATCACGGTGGGCCATTCAGACTATAAGCAATTACTGATAAGTTCACGAACCAAGTTTCATTTACACTCGCGCGCAGTTCACCATGGCCCCTGAGGCCACCGTACGTTGTCCTGGCATCATTTCCGCCTCCATTGCACCTCTCACGTCAGTACCAACTGTGCGGCCACTCCTATCAGCACCTCAACATGTGTCTGGGGCGCTCTCGACACAGAATTGTCACCAGTCGTGAGGGACAGCGAACGTGTCAACAATGCACCGATGCAGGTCACTCACGATTGGCTCTGCAGTCGAGTGACACCCCGGAGAGATGTAGACCGATTGAGATGACATGGCGCAGCGCTGCGGAGGCACCACTGCTCGTCGCAGTTGTGTCGCGCTGTGGACTGAACGTGTCAGCGCGACTGTCGCGTCTGTACCGGATAATGGCGGCATACTGACCCAACGCGGTCATGGGAGGCGACACGTGCGATCGCGGGAATTAATCAGGTGATATGGGTTGTGACCTGAAATCTGAGAGGCTCTTCAAAGCCATGTGGGTTTTGCACTGTCTTCAGAGGTAATGAGATGAACTATAAACTAGCTCCGTCAATAGCTAAGGCTGGTAGCTGTTGAATAAATTGGCGTATGTAACATTTTTGCCTGCTTTACCCTTCCTCCTGATTTTTTTTTCTAACGTTATATTGAAAAATGATATGACGTAAATGGTGCATTGAGTTGTTGAACATTCAATTCATAACTTGATAAACGTTTCGCCATCACGTGCGTACGTTTTCAATTGCCACCAAAGTCACGCGCAAACTGTGCTCTAAGTCCTAACCAAAAACTGTCATCGTGCTCTCACCATGACCGGGGCAGTATCTCAATCACAGAGGAGCGTGCCGGCACCGACAAAATAATGACCACCCTGGCACACGTGACCCCTCCTCTCCAGGTCAGAACGCCTTACGAATTCAGCCCATGAAGTCGCTAACAGGGTGACGATGCAGATACGCCGACATTCAGATGGAGACGAGAGTTTCTACAAGGGGAGAAGAGAGATTTAAATGATAAGTTGCTCTGGCATAAGGAACGGGAAAAGGCGGACGTTATAGACGGTATAAACTGCCAAAGGTTGGCCGTGGACGGTGGACACTGGACAGTGGACGGAGGATGGTGAACGGTGGACGGTGGACGGTGGACAGTGGACGGTGGACAACGAACGATGAACGTGGACAGTGAACCTGGAACTGAGGATAGTTGTTCACAGCGGACGATGAATGATGAACGCTGGACATCTGCGCGTACTCACCAGTTTTGCTGAGAGCGGTCGCCGGTGCTGCAATGCTAGCGCAGAGCGCCACCGCGGTAACCAGCCACCATGTCGCCATTTCTGCTGCAAGAGACTTGGTTTCGCCGTTTTTGTTGTTGCGTCCGCCCACAAGTCAGCGAGACAGCGGATCTGTCGGCCGGCACTTCTTTTCTGTTCGGTTGCCTGTAAATAGCGCAGGCGATTTGTAAGATTTTTTAGCAACGTCTTTTTCCTTTAGTTCCTCCTACATTGTTTTAGAACGCAAGTTACTCAGGGGAAGGTGCAACTAGGTGGAACTAGGTGGAAACAACTAGGTTGAGCAGCTAGATGGAAATTCAAGAAGAACTATATACGTCATCCGCATCCATGAATTTAGCCAGCTTCATCCGTGACCGGGTCACTCTGTGCCTGGTCTGCCAGTGACCCAGTCACTGCGCCTGGTCTGTCCGTTGACCGGGCCATCCCGTGCCTGCCCTGTCCGTGACTGGTTCGTCTTGTCTCGTGGCCACGTCTCGTGCCGGCGGCCTAGGTCTGCAGAGCTGCACCTCAGACACCGTTACACCGCTACCCCAGCGGCCCAGCCTGTCTATAGATAGTGGAGGCGCCCCCGTGGTTAAAAACATGAGCCTATGAACACCGGGGCGGACTCGTGACGCGTCGCTATCGTTGAGTGCATAATGAGGAAGAATGCGGGACAGTGTGGGTCAGGTCACTCAAAACCTGCATGTGCCAGATCCGTGTCAAGTCTCAGAGGTGCTTCTGCTGGGGAGATGAAATGATACTCATAAATGGCATGCATGTATGCACAAGACATGCATGTATGCACAAGACAAAATATCAGTGCATGGCTGTTTGTGGTACCTATTATTTTTTGACGCTTGCAAATGTCAGTAATGTGAACGCCATCATATCTATACATGCGGAGGAACAGAAAAATGGATTCGAATTGGCATATATGTAGTTAGATAATCAATGCGAAATGTCCAATGTCCATATATCGTTGCCATGAATAGTGCATTTTTGCAGGTGAAATCAAACTGTTCAATCTGATGGGATTTCACAAGAGTTTGTTATTGATAGCCTGTTCTCATTCGTCTCCTTTTCTCTTTACTCCTACTCCGCTGCTGTTTTGTAAATGGATGTCAGCTAGCGCATCTTTCATTCTTCTGCAGGCTGCAGCTGTGGATTTACGAGGCCACAACACAGCATTCTCTCCTTGTCAGCCACTATTATGTTTGACGTTAGAACACTAGCCTCTTTATGTCACTACAAAGTTGGATGCCATGCCATTCGAACTAAGACACACCACAGCCTTTCTTTGACATCGAAAACCGGCGCGGCGCCTCTGCGCTGGCTGTCACGATAAAACAGAGATTCGTGTGACGAAGGACGTCTGGTGGGCCCTGGACGTCCAGCTGGCGCCGTCTCGCTCCACCGCTCACGACCACCAGACGCGTCCCAGGACGCGGCAGACGGCGAACCGTTGTTCTGGCAGCACTTAGCATACCGGTTGCGGTCATGAGAGAACGTGATACGTTCTAAGAATATTCTCAGGACCGGCTATTATTTTTAGGATAGACAGAGGACAGTGGAATTAACAGGTGCTGACCATGTGTAAGTTGAGGTTAAAGAATTGTTTTTGGTTAACGCACTAACAGATAAAATAGATAGCCTGCTACTTATCCAGAAACATTTCCTCCTATCATTTCGAAGTCCTTAAAATATATTGAATTGTTTTATTCCTCACCCTCTGGGCTTATTGAATGATTTCATGTCCCTAACACAACACTATTTTAATACAACGTTTTCAGGGAGCATGAACCACGCAGGGCCTATTGTGCCGTCGGGAACTGCTCACAAGAACCCACCTTTCGTCCCTCACAACGGCGCATTCAAGTGCTCACCGCTCCGTTTAAAATTGATTCCATATCCATCGCGTAATACGTTGTCGGCTGGTGCTGTCGCCTGTCCGTGAGTATAGGAGAAGCCTGACCATTGTCTGATTCATTCCGCCCATCTTCCCCGATTGCCACTCCGTCCAGTGTGTTTGAAGTTATACCTACTTAGATATTCCCTCCTTCAGCAGGCGACTTCAGCCTCGGAAATACCACGTGCCATCCTGATAGGACCGGCGAGTGTGCGTGAAACGCTCGACCAAAATGATGCGTGACGCAGAGACAGGAGCCGGGATACGAGGGACAGGAGCACCATGTGGTGACCGGATGAGCCGATCTCACCCACCGATGGCAGTCATCGCGTGTCGTCACTGCTGGAGGAGACGTCGTCGTTAGTGGCGGAAAGGAAGGCAGCAGGTTGATCAAGACAGTGGAAGGACGTCGATAGCGGTGATCTTTCCACCGAGCGGCGTTTAGTGAGCGCCAGTCATGAGCAAATGTCCTTGAATCATTTCCTAGGTTTGCTACAGAGATTCGAGCCAAACAAAATGTTCGGGCATTCTTTCGAGGAACTGTCCAGATGACTGGACACTGTGCCGTGCCCAGTGTCTTAGGTTATCATGGACCAGCAGCTCGGCTGATAGTTCAGCTGATCCCTTACATAGCTGAATACTGATCCCTTACATAAGGCCTGTACACATTCAGCTGTTGTGCTGTTGTCAGCTGAAATAGGCTCCGCCCACCGCTTCTGGCTGACGGAACTGTATACATTTGGCCGATGAGAAATGTCAGCACTGGTTGACTGTTTACAAATATGGCGTTGTAAACAAATATTTCGTCTCATCTTCATGTTCTTTATTAATAAAATACTTAAGCAGTTAGATATATTATCAAAATATTTACTGACAATGTGCGAAAGTAATAAGTATTTTTCTTGTATCGACAATTAATTATGAAACCAAATATATGTGAATAGCGCCAACATGGTGTCCAAATTTCATTTATCTGCAGTGCTCAATAAAAATCTGGCACGTGATTTGCTTTCATGCGCCACTACCAGTGTCTAAATGCGTCATTTATGGCTTTTGCTGACGGCTCGGCATCTCTGCACTTGCTTTCTCGTAGCAGCACAGCCCGTCAGCCCATGCTGCCGGCAGCAGAGAGGTGACGTCATGTTGCATGTGCAACATAACGTCATCAATTTTTCAGCCAATAGTGTGAGTGATTTTCGGCTGACAACAGCACAGCAGCTGAATGTGTACAGGCCTATAGACTTCCCTTGGACGAAGCTGCCCAGCAATGGCTAGGCAGGTTGAAAGCAATGCCCTGCAATCTATGCAGAATGGCTTTCGAATGCATTTCGGCTGGGTACTCTGCAGATCTAGCATGCTTCCCCTCAGCATGAATTAGAAGCAGGAGTTTTGCTGTATTGCTGTCTTGCTGGGTGAAAAGCAAAGGAAGAGTTGCTCTGCTTCTCGGAGAAAAAACGGCAGCCAATCTGTTTCGCCTTCTCCTGCATAGCAGATATGAATTTTACGGCATGCGATTGGTTTTAATCTCTGACACGGTGAATGCATTTTAGTTTCCTGTTTACTTTCCATATCATTAATCACCCTTACTGTTGAAAAGCCACACCGTGTTCATGCATGCATATCACGTGCAGAAGAGCATTCATTGCCTAATTGAGATTAATCATTGGGTGGCAGGGGGACGCGTGTGCACCGTGCAACTTCCAGCCCGTGAGCGTTACATCCCGGACTGCCGAGGAACCTGTGGCTGAGTTTACGACCGATGTGGATCTTCGGGTACGCTGCATGACACGACCGAATCTGGACACTGTGAGGTGACATCACCTTGATCTGATTCTATGTATGAGGGGCTAGCTGTGGAATGTACTTACCACCCTGATATATTAGGTATGGAATCAAGGTGTGACCGCCTTTGGAGCCGTTCACCGTGCAACAAATAACCGGTGTTGTCTTCATTGTTCTACTTGTATATGCATCCTGCTTTTGTATGTCCAGTCGGATGGGCGGCCTGACCGCCTTCATGTGACACTCAAAGGAGATGCTTGTGCCCCGCGGACAGATGGCCGCCGTAATACCAATCCTGAAAAACCGGAGAAGTCTACACCCCGGTATGACCGCCGTTACACCGGCGCTCCACGGGGGCCATCTGCGTGGCGCGCGTGAGAGTGACGCGGTCGCCCAGTGGGCAGATGACACCCGCTGTTCTGCTACACATGTGCGGACTGCTGCACTCGCGGGAGCATGACCGAAAGTGAAAACCGCCCTGTGCCGGAGCTGACAGGAGCAGCGGGCGAGCGAACGGCAGGTGGACGGGTGAGCGGAGATTCGGCTATGGTGGGCTGGTGGGCGGAGATTTCGTTCTGGTGGACTGCTGAACGGGGATTTCGCAGCCCACTTCCGCCCATGGTGCCATGTTGATTTGTAATACAATGCTAGCGGATATGCGCTGAGCTAGAAGCTGCTAAAGGAAAGTATTATACGTATAATTATATTTTTGTTTTGATTGGTATTCGATCTCTATTATGTGCGCTGAAGGGTCGCTGAGAAACTAAATGTATTTGATGCGCGCGACTAACAGTGGCGAGCAGCAAAGTTTTTCCGTGCCCGCGGGCACAAAAGCGCTGAAGGATCGCTGATAAACTAAAGTTTTGTGAGCACCACGGCTGTTTGATTCACACCTGACATAGTTTGTGGGTCGCCACTCGCCATCTCTTCCCTTCCTCACAAACACTCGCTCCAGGACACCATGGAGGCGGGCGCCACATCGACCAGCAGTTAATCATTTCCGCACCGCCGCGGCGTCACGGGAAGTTGACAGGTGGGAGGTCCTTTCCCAGACCGTCACCCATGACCGGGTGGCACTGCGGCCGGTCAGCCCTTCGAATTGGTCCACTAATCACTAATTTATCAGGGACCGGAGCCTCGGAACAAAACTGTGCGGTAGGTCAGTCGGCGCTGTCGGGTGTTGATTGGTTGGTGTTGGGTAAATTGGGTCAGTAGTGGGTCGGGAGTGGGTGGTGGGTCAGTTGTTGGGTAAATTTTGGGTTACTTGGTTGTTCTGAGAGGCATGGTGACTGGTGAGTTTTGTGGTCCCTGTGAGGATGGCTAGGGTGTCTTCCTTTGAACGCCATGGGAAAGATTGGAATTGTGTCGTAAAAAGCAATGACTCATGCGACCAGCAATGGAGTTCTTTCTCTTCTGAAATGACGCGTATTTTGAATGTGCATGCCCCACTGCGTAGGTTTAAAGTAAATAACCC